AACAACCACCGGGGGTGGCCTTCGAGTTTTCGCCTGTATATTTTGTTCCATTTCAATGGGACTTGCTGTTGGTTGTAGTGGTGAAGATGACGCTTTTCTTTTTTTATGTCTAGGTAATTGCCAAGCTGTCTCTCGGTTGACTATATCTTCTTCTTCGTCCGTATTGACTGGGCTATAAGGATTATTCGATTTTTCGTTTATATTAGCTATTTGTCTCCGCAAGTAGATGAGGACCTTTTCTGCGTTCTTCAGTTCATTCTGCAGGACCCAGAGAATTTGTTCACTCCGGTCTGCAATTTCATCAGTTTTACTAATCTCGCCCAAGCGAGTTTCTATTGCCTTTATTTGGTCGCACATTTTCACGATATTTTAACGGTTTTTTTTACCGCCGATGTCATATGGAATGATATCTATTTCGCTTCGCCAAACTCGCGGACAGAACAGTTAGTAGTTAAGCTAAAGTTGAAGGAAATTCGCTTCTGTTCGGAGCGTTATTTAGTACAATTCTTTTGCCGTTAGTGCGTGGTTTTGCAAAAAATTAGTGCGCCGGATTAAGTTTCTACAGGGTGGCCAGTGAAACTCATTGGTTACGGTTCCACATGCTCTTAGCTGGACACAAAAACGATTATTTGCTATATCTATTTCGCTTATCGCACTTTGCTTCGCCGGACTCGCGTACACGTCTATTCCGTACGACGACCACTAAACGATGAAATAATTTAAACTTACTATTAAAATATTTTGAAAAAATTTTTGCTATGTCGTTTTTGTATTTTTGGATAATTTGTTTTAATTCGCAGGCAAAACAACTCAAGAAATTTTTTGTTTAAAAACCATGCTTTTTAATTTTTAAATAGAGTTACGTTTTTGCATCCAATTCGAATCGCTCTGTAACACAAATCAATTTAATAAATTTAATCAATCACATTTTGGACGAAAGCAAACCCCGGACAGTATAAAACTTTCGACTGGGAGTTTGGCGTCTCCTGTAATCCAGCTGCTTGGAGGTCGGGTTTAGTGGATGGTTTGAGGTCGGGAGTTCTGGTCCAGGGCGTTTCGTGTTGACCGGGTGTCCACACTAAGCATGGCGTTAATATGGGCGTCCTGGGGGAGCCTGGGACGGCCAGGTTGAGCAAAGAGGAGCGAATCGGGCCAGGGGGGAAACCCAGCAGCCAAAAGTCCCCGCGCCGTGCAGTAGTGGGATCGCGCCTGGGAGTGGGAACCCTGGACTAGCCCGATCAAAATAACTAGACCTGGGCCTTTTTTACCCACTTTTGCCTCAAAAATCCCACCTTTTTAGACATATTTTATTAGGGGTTATTTGACCCAACCTGTGCGTGGATTGGAATTTAAACAACCAAGTTTTTATAAAACAAACATTCGGCAAGCTGATTGAATGTTCGCCCAATAGATGGCCCCAAAAGGATCGAAATCTACTTAAATCAGGGGTGGCGAATGCGCTTTGTGAAAGTTTTTGAAGCTACTTTACCTCCACCAGCTTTCAAAATTCAGGCAATTGCTGCAGGAGGGGGCAATTTTTCAGCTGTTTTGACTCTTGAACTTGAAAATTTTGTGTGGTTGCCAGCTTGAGCGCCTTTTCCCGATTTACTTTGTTGAATCAGATATCGATTTTTTGTGCCCCAAAATACCACATTCACAAAAACTGCCAACACTCGAATCAAGCAAAATTTTTCGGATCTGCTTCAGCGCATTGTAACCAAATTGCTAAAGAACATACGTTAATAAATTTCTGTCGCGCACAGAAGGCAAGTAATAGAAAAAACAACAGTTATTGCGTCACTGCCAAAAAGCTTCGGGCAACGAACCTGACGATTATACGGGGTGATTCAAAATAGGCCCTTCTTCTCGCGGCGTTTTCCGGAGGTATTAAAGACATGCCGAAGAAAAAAAACGGATTATTTGCACAAAAAACTGAGATATTTGCAAAAAACTCAATCAGATATTCGGCAACAATGTACCTAACTTTCGAATTCGATGCATTCCTCGCGTCCGTGAGCTGAAAATGGTATGAAATTTAAGACATATTCAGAAAATTTCAATTTTTCCAAAAAATCCACCTCCACCCTTGGAAAGTTTCGGCCAAAAATGAAAATTTCACATGCGTGCTTTTTGAGCTGAATCGATTCCTTTCGACGTAAGAAGGTCGCAAATATGCATTTATAAAGCGTTTGGGTCAATAATAAGGAAGAAATCGTCGGCTAAAGATTGTAAACGATCAAAAAACGCTTAAAATGTGCCTAAAATGTCTGTTATTTCGGATCTGAAACTTCTACCATGTTTTTCAATGAGTTCGATGCATTCTTCCCGTCCGTGAGCTGAAAATGATGAAAAATTTAAGACATTTTGAGAAAATGAAAATTTCGACCCCCACCCCGAGAAAAATTTCGGTCAAAAATCAAAATTTTACATGCGTTTTTTTGAGCTCAATCGATTCCTTTCGACGTAAGAAGGTCACAAATGTGCATTTGTAAAATGTTTGGGTCAATAATAAGGAAGAAAACGTCGGCTAAAGATCGTAAACGATGAAAAAACGCTTAAATTGTGCTGAAAATGTCTATTATTTCGGATCTGAAACTTCTACCATGTTTTTCAATGAGTTCGATGCATTCCCCGCGCCCGTGAGCTGAAAATTATGTAAAATGTAAGGCTATTTGAGAAAATGTTAATTTTTTCAAAAAAATCGACCCTCACCATTAGAAAAATTTCGGTCAAAAATAAAAATTTTACATGCGTGTTTTTTGAGCTCAATCGATTCCTTTCGATGTAAGAAGGTCACAAATATGCATTTGTAAAATGTTTGGGTCAATAATAAAGAGAAAATCGCAGGCTAAACGTCGGGAACGCTCAAAAACGCTTAAAATGTGCCGAAAATGTCTATTATTTCGGATCTGATACGTCTATCACGTATTTCAACGAGTTCGATGCATTCCCCGCGCCCGTGAGCTGAAAATGATGTAAAATTTAAGACATTTTGAGAAAATTTTCATTGTTTCAAAAAATCGCTCCCCACCCTTGGAAAAATTTCGCTCAAAAATCAAAATTTTACATGCGTGTTTTGTGAGCTCAATCGATTCCTTTCAACGTAAAAAGGTCACAAATATGCATTTATAAAATGTTTGGGTCAATAATAAGGAAGAAATCGCCGACTAAACATCGTTAACGCTCAAAAAGCGTTTAAAATGTGCTGGAAATGTCTAATTGCCGAAGAACAATCCATTCACCAACTCACTCACTCACTCATGAAACACATCGTTTTCTCTTTTTATTTCCCAACATATGCAAAGTGTGGCGCGTTGTGTTGCTGTGTCAAGACGGCAAGTCGTATCGGTGTCGCTGTGTGAACACCTGGAAATCCATTGTGTTACCCATTGAACACAGGAAATTCTCAGTATTATTTTTTCCATTTATATTTCTCACATCAATGTTTTTGATCGGTGTGGCAAAAGGTTACGTTATTTATCCCGCTAAAGCAGAGAATGGGAAAGTTTCAGTTGACTGAACTGTTTCTTCACAGCAGCATAATGGAAATTGTCAACATTTTCACTTTTTCTTATTGAAGTGGAAGCTTCTTTAGGAGCGTTTAGCAGATTTTGTGGGTGGTAAAATTGACTAAGCTCGGCTATGAGTGTATCCCTTTTAGCTTGAAGCCCACAATAGTGTCAATGTTATTTTACTTTGTAAAAATTGAAAACAAAATTATTTTTTTCATACTATTAATTATTACTGTCTTGCCCCGCTTGTTGAAGTTTTCACTTCTATCGTGTAGTCTTAAGCAAATACAAGATTTTTTTTTATTAAAAAAATAGCTTCTACATGCTAATAACACAAATTTTCAGGGCAAAATCAGCTCATCCAAAGGAATATTCTGATAGAAAACGTTGGTAACGATTTCGTGCACCCCCGTCAGAAGATCGTTGATCGACGGTCTCAATTCCTCATTCAAGAGCATCCAGTTTTCGTTGATCAGTCGATTAGTTTGCTCGCCTGAAAATTGGAAAACTTCATCAATCGGCGCGTTTCGATGCAAAAATTATCGGTCATTCTCCTGTTGATCATCTTACGCTATTACGTGTCTGAATTTTTTGTAAAAATGTTTTGAATAAATTCCGGTGAATTTTCTTGTTAGTATGTTTTTTGTTAAGTTGTGAATTTTAATGGGTGAAAACTGCAGTTTTGCAAAAAACTCCACTAAGAAATGTAGTTGGTTCACGATTTCCTATAAAGTGAGCATATAATTAACCGAGCTCTCAAGAGCTGGATGTTTTTGATCAATCACCTACCAAGCATTTCGTTTCCATTGAACAAGTTCTGCAAGTTGAAAATGGCCTTTTCCACGTCGTACTTGCAAGTCGATCGGGCGCTAATGATTTTCGCGTACTTTTTGCCGTTCCTAGTCTCGATGCCATACTCATAGTTGTACTCGTAAGTGCCGTTAACTAGAAACCCATTTTTCTTACCAAAAATGGCGCTAAGGAATAAAACGCTTACTAAATTCGAATTTACACGGTCCACTTCCTTGCAGGGGAATAAACAAAATCCGTCCATCTATGGTATAGTTGGCTTTAATATCCAGCTGCTTGTTGAATGACTTGAATTTCACCTTTCGCGCCTCATAGTCAAACCTAAAAAAAGGCCAACGTTAAAGCTGGAAAAGGACAGCTAACAGCGCGTTAGAAAAAGAGCCAGGCAACTCCACCCGCTTTGGGCCCACGTTATCTCAGTCTAACGCACGCCTTTACACCTCCGCCTTGTCCCTCCAAAGCGTTTTTTACAGAACGTTTCACTCAACTGTAGTTCTTTGATGTCGATATTGTCCAATCCGTAAACAGTGAGATTATTCAGCGTCACCTTCAGGCTGTTTCCATTGAGAACGCTGGATTGAGGGTATTTAAGGGGCAGGAGGGATGGCAGGCCGATTTTCCGGTCTCCTAGAAAATCAAGAATGGAAAAAATGATTAAACGATTAAACAATAGGGGTTTAATTGATGCAATTACAAAAAAAAACACAGAACTAATTAATATTGCAAGAAAAATAATTTGATGGTTAATTTGCGTTAATAATGGTTTCGAGGCCAATGACAAATTACTATAACTGGATTATTAAATATATGTCATTTTTTACTAGAGTTAATTGCATACAACAAACCGAACGTTAAACAAATCATCTCATATTTAAAACCTTAGAGCAAGTCCAGCTTCGTGTAAAAATGGCAGGTTTTTTTATTTTAGTTTTTTTACTTCAATAATTGCGTCGGCAACTTTGTTGCCTGTTTCTACTTCACTTCTTCAGCACTCAATTAGCGGATTTCTCAAAAATCAATCACTTACATAAAACTGATTTAATTGTGGTTCGCGCTAATTAATCAAATGACTCGGCTTTACATGCAACTGATATTTACGGTTGATTTTGCAAAGCATACGAAACCAACGTGATATGAAGCAATGAAGGTGAAATTGAGTGTGAAATCGGTACAAGAATCAACTTATAGCGCCATCGGCCTTAAAAAATCGCTTTGTCAAGGCTTTGGCCAGCCGCAAAGTCGCAGAGTTTGTGGCATGAAATGAAGAGTTTTGACTTACCTTTTAAAAATTTGGGCACAGCAGCCCGTGCACTTGCCAGTGTGCACGCATTGTGGTTTGGATCAGATCTCGAACAGGGCGTGATGTAGTTGGCTAAAAAGGGGCAAAAAACACTCAGAAACACCTTTGAAAAACCACTTGGACTTCTTCTGAGGGCTCGAGTTTGGACATTCGCGTTCAAGCTTGATGATTTTTGAAAAAATCAATTACTTACGCAATTTAAGAGCCACTAAGCTACAGACACTGACTAGCAGTACTATCAACCACTGAAGAATCATTCTTCGATGTGAGCGAAAGTGGCTGGCTAACAGACTAGGCCGGCGTCCAACCACATAGTATCTTGCAGTTGGAAGATGTATGCGTTATGTAATGATTGGATTTCTTAAATGGCTTTTTAATTATAATTTTATGTAAGCTAGGGTAGGATTTGCCAACTAATGTGGAACATTTCACCATGTCACATGCGGCTGTGCGGCTAAGAATCAATTTGGAAATGGCGATTCTTTGAAGGTGGCTCTTGCAACGTTTGTGCACATTATTTTGCAAATTAGCTGGTTTGTTTTAAATTGACTATATAAGTCAATTTCCAGGTGAAATTGTATTCTCCTCTAGGGCTAAGGAAAAGTTCTGTTTCAAACAAGGAACTTTTAATGGAGTAATTTCACTAACTAGTGTTCAAAGTAGGATTTTTCTTTTGCGCTTCACGTTTGCTATAAGTGTAAATTAATCGAATCACTGAGGCTTATTAGTCCATTTTTTGCGAAGGTAGACATTTACGTCTATTAATTATTAAGGATCATAACAAATCTGTAACAAACACTTTAATTAGCCAATTTAAGAAAATACATCAATACAGTGTTTACTCGCATATTTTTGCCGTCCAAAGTACTTTCGCTGTAATTCATCCTGCTGAAAATTCCGCAATTCGAACGTTTAAAGAAAAGTATTGATGGCAAATTGTTTGTCCACACGGTTAAAGTCAAAGGTGAATTCACCACTGCGAACTTTAGATATACAGGTTTTTTTCTGTATTTACTATAATAACTTCTTCCAATTAAGGTCTCAATTCGTATAAATTGGAGCCGGAAATCAGAGCTAATGACTAGGTTTTTGAAAAAAAATTAAACCAGTTTCATTCCAATATTATAAATTGGCTTTACAGGCTTTTTGAGGGTTAGTTGAAGATTTTATTTGGGCCAACAATGCAGAGTTTTGCAGTTTTATTTGTTGCGCTTTGTGCTTTTGGCATATCAAATGCACTTCGTAAGTAAATTTCTCAAGTTGTGTGTTTTAGCGTTTTTTTGAGCGATTTGCGCTTTGGAAAAATCTAAAAAGTTGGAAAAATGCCTGGAGATTTAAAACACTTTCAATGCCCTTCTCCAAAAGTGTTGTATTTTATTACAATTTCTTCTTCCGTGCAAATTTTTAGCGGTTTAGAGTTTAGGAAAATTGCCGAACTTTTTGTATTTACTAATGATCAACTAAGCCTGTAATTTTTTTGCACCAACTTTTTATATTAAGTTTGTAAATGTGTTTTTTTAAGATTTAGATAAACAGCTTAATTGCGATTGATACTGCGATTTTTGTATTTAATGAAAATTTGCAACATCCTTTTTCCATATTCGTACAATATTTCATCTTCGTACTGTGAAAGTTTCAAAGTTGTACTGGCTCTGGTTTGGAGAAGAAGAATCTTTGAAGTTCGTCCTACCGTTTTGCATTATTTCACTTCTCCTTACGTTTAAGTATTTGTCATAAAATTGGTCAATAATTGGATTTGATTAGAATTTTCACCATCTATTTACCCATTATTCTTCTTCATATGGGAAAATTTTCAAAGCCTTATTGAGCCTGGTTTAGAGTTTAGGAATTTTTGAATCGTTGCTTGCAGATTGACGGTTTTTACTTTTTACAACAAGTTTGAGTGATGGTTTTTAAATTAGCGGATTATTCGATTTAATTAAATTTATGACTGTATATTTAGCAAACTTCCCTGTTCACATTGTCAAAATTTTAGGGTTGTACTGGCGCAGAAATTAATTTTCGGAATATTGAACTAAAAGTGTGTGTTTACTCATCGCCAACTAAAAGTGCATTTTTTTCACCAAACTTATTGCTTTTCTTGTTTTAGTTGATTTATACTGTAATAAAGATGTTTTACAAATTTATATAAATAGCTGAATAACCGGTTGCTTTCACTTTATCATCCAAAGAAAGCTTTTGCGGCCTACATTGCAACTGTCTAGTTCTCCTGGGTATCGTGGAAATAATTTTCTTCCTGACGTTTCGCTAGCATGCAGGATTAGCATCTTCAAATGTTTAGTCACTTTGGGTGCTCATACACTGATCGGAATCGATTAAATCAAACTCAAGTTTGCATTCAGGAACGTATCTATCCTCGGATCTCTCACTTACGCATATCGAGTTCTGAGAGAGATGCAAGATGGACTGCGACGTGTTATGTTCCTACTTGATGCCTTTGCGGCTAAAAATATTTCAGGTTTGAGCGGGAGAAAATTGGAAAAAATTTTGTTTGCCAATTTCATTTCAATTGAGTGAAAATAAATTAAAAAACGCCTTTTTTGGCAGCATAATTATTATTGATCCGTTTATTTGGTAGTTTTTTCTATATGCATCAGAACGTCAAAAAAACAGGTAAGTTTACTTCAGCTGAGAACAAAGTTCTAAAGGTGCTGGCGAAACGTCAGGACTCAATTCCTTACGAAGAGCTTTTGATCAGCAGAAAACTTGCAAAAAAATTATTAATTTCCAAACGGACGAGTCTAAAAAAAATTCAACTCGAAACTCACCAGTTCCATTCATGATTGTTTCACTCCTGAGTCAATTTCAAGCGCATTTTTCTCAAAAACGAACTAAACAGTATTTTTTCTCTAAAAATCGTGTTTTGCCGGTGGAGGTTGTTGAATTATTGGAACGGGAGCAAGCCTTTCATAGATTTTTTCTTCAGCCTCTAAATGCGCTTTCCTTGTAAAATGTTGGCAAAAACTACTTTTAAATCCGATAATTGCATTCAATTACCGAACCTACATGATCGATAATGAACCGTACTTCATTCAGGAGTTTTTGTGGTTCATCATTTTTGGTATAAAGATGCCCAACCAATCATCCATTGCAGTACAAGTTATTGGTATTTCGAAAAATGCAGGTGATTTTGGGGATTTGTGCGCTGTTTGTGGCAACCGAATCGTTTAAATTGCGTAAGTTCTAGTGAGTTAAGAGTTAAGAAAAGGCTTTTTTGGCAATTTAAATATCTGGTCTAAAAGTCCGGAAAATTCACCAATTTCAGGCAGTAGCTGCAAAATTTTCAGATCATTTCAACATCTTCGATGTTCTACTCGTTTTTCATCGGTTAATTTTTTTTCTTAAAACCGCAGCAGAAGTATAAATTCTATGAAACATGTCCTAAACAATTAGAAAGTTTCAAGGTTGAAAAATCATCTAAAAACAAATGTCGTAATTAATTTCCTACGTGTACTGGCGTTGTTACTAAACTAATTAGAATATGGGCATTTGCGTAATTAAAAATTAATATGCCTGATAAATGCTGAACGTATTAATCATGTGAAAAACTTTAATCTACACTGTAGAACCGGGTGCTTAAACATGGTTATTATACAAACACTTTGGTTTTACATGGCACAATAAATTTTCATTTTCAGCTGACTACATCAAACCCTGCAGCAGATCCGCCAAGAATTTTGATCAATGTTGTACTGAGCGCGGAAATGACGCTTTACCTCATCTGCTCAAAGGAGACAGTGACCTCAAGCTGCCCAACATGTTGCCCATGAAGTTGCCCAAAATCGATGTTGATGCTGGTCCGAATATAAAATTAGGCTTCACCGATGTGGACGTATATGGACTTGACACCGTAAAACTCTCCACTTTCCAGTAAGTCTCCCAAAGGAGCGAACCCCTCGATTTAATCAAATCATCTTCGAAATTAGCGTCAACTTTGACCAATCAACAGTCTTTATCGTCGTAAATGCCCAAAAAGTTACGCTGATTGGAAAATACGCAATCAATGGCAAAATCATGGTGTTGCCCATATCAGGAAACGGGCCTGCGAATATCACCATCAGTAAGCTTCAGCCAAAAAACCCTTCAGGAAACTCCCAAGTTTTTTTGTAGATAACAGCGAATTTAGGTACACATTTTCCTTTAAGAAGGAGGAAAAGCACGGGAAGGAATATGCGAAAATTGACGACGATAATCTGGAATGGAAGATCGAAAGGGCTCATTTCAAGTTCGATGACTTATTCAACGGAAATCAGCAGATGAGTATGTGGCCAAATGAGACGAGGACTCAGACGCTTCAATGGAAAATTTCTGATATTTCAGGCGACAACGTGAACACTTTCCTGAACGAAAACGATCAAGAAGTTTTAAAGGAAATCGGAGCTGCAGTGATCGGAGTTGTAAAGTTCGTGGCCAGAACCATTGGAGCATCCGTGTTGGGCAGCAGTCCAATAGATGAACTGTTTTTAGCTTAAAACGCCTTTAATACATAGTTATTGAAAATCACCGTCTCTAGTGGAAGTGGATGTGAGGAGTAAATCAGTTTTTATTTATGTTGACTTTCAATTGCATCCAAAGCTCTATTTTTCATAATTTGAAACGAGAAATCAGTGGGGTGAAGACACAGAGAATTTAACCAAATGGATTTAGAAAAGGCACAGTTGAGCTACCAAGGGAACGGATCTAGAAAAATGAAAGTTCTAGAGCTGGCAAGAGCGTGAAGTCTTTTAGCAGTTGAATTTTCTAAAAAATTTCAGCTCTAGCTAAGGAGGGAAGCTAAGTAAGGGAAACTATGCCCCACAGCCAGATAAACGGGTCTACAAAAATGAAGCTAAAACATCGGTTTAATTTCGCCGGTTTCAAGAGCGTGAAGATTCTTCATAGTGTTCTTAAATTTGGAAGAAAATCTCAGCTTTTTCCTCAAGCAAATAACAAATGGCGCAACTTTTCCTCTCCTCTGTTCTTCAGAGCTTCCTCTGGTTTACCTTCTATTTTTCCTTCAATGCTATTTTGCATAAAGTCCTTCTTTCTTCATTTCCGGTGATATATGAGTTTACATTTATTTTCTTATTCAGTAAAAAAACGATTAAAAAAGTAAAAGTCCACCTTCTGCAATGGATTTTTCCTTTACTGAAAACTGTGCAGTTCTCAGATACTTCAATTGCTCTTCAAGTCAATGGGGGACTTTCAAGAAACTTCTAAGTGATTTGATGTCTGAAATTCTCCATAACCAGTGCAACGAACGGTTTTAAACCTGAAGTTAATCGTTAACAGTTCACCGACGTTTTGGAAGATTTATGGAAGAAAGTCAGGTTTCTTCTCTTATTACCATGCCGAATGCAGTAAAAATAATTTAGTGTTCTTCACTGTGTCTGTCGTTAGCAGCAAAACATGAGTTTCAGTCAAATGATGTCGGAAAGTTTCTTCAGCTAATGAAAACTTTAGTGTTGTGCATTTTTTTGTCCAAATTTCTTATTTTTATACTTTGAAGATTATACATTAAGTGTAGGTGGCTACCGGTTAAACGGTTTTTGCGGGCTGGCAATTTACGAATGCAATTTTTAAAGCTTATCGGTAAGATTCTCGCTTCCTCAGCAAAAAACCAGCAAATATAGAAAAAACTCAACCAAACATCCAGATAAACGGGTTAAGAAAAAAGGAGCTAAACATCGGTTTGATTTATATTCACTTCCGCTTACATTTGTGCTTTTTCGTCGCTTTCAAGAGTTTGCACATTTTTAACAGTTTCCTTAAATTTGACAAAAAATCGCAGCTCTTTCTTCAGACAGTTTGCAAACGACGCATCTTCTCTTCTGCACTTGCGGTACATGCCGAAGATCATTTCCAGAAAAGAGCCCAGAAATCCCAGAAACGCCCCGAGAAATAACACCAAAAATACACCACCCACATTCTGAAGATCCAGTGCTTCGGCTTCGGATTCTTCCGACTTTGCCTGGAAAAGTACAGCAATTTTCTCTCCCAATTTTCCAAAGCACTGAAGATGAACTTACCGAACATGTGCTTCCTCCTCGCTTTTCCTTCCACCATTTATCCTTGAGCTGATTCAAAACGCCCGTTTCCTGCAGTTTGATCACTTTGCTGCTCAACTCGTTCCTATAGGGAGAATCTGAAAAAAACTGAAAAAATCACCCATTTGTTTTCTTTCCACAACATTACTTTTCTCCATGGCTATTCCATATCCCTTGTCATCCAAAAGCCCTCCCACGTGAGACAAACTGCAATGCCTTTGAGTGACATACTCAATTGAGGTGGATTCCATCAGATAGGCGTAGTTCTCAGCTTCAACTCTTCTTACTCCTTCTTCGTTTTCCATCACCATGTAGCCCGGGTGCTGTTTCATGTAGGTGTAAACCCGCTGATGGGTACTAATATTTGAGTCCTTTAAACGCAGTTATAATTGAGCCAAAATAAAGCGGAGCTAAAAGAGTTTACCCTGAAGAAATTCTCGGTGGCCCCCAGCTTTTTCGCCCCATACTTAATTTCAGTTTGCCTGGCAAGTTCGTCGATGTTCTTGAAAGGCGTCACCAAAGTCTCCACAGTCAAAAACGCAGCCAGGTTGGCTGTATACGAAGCCACAATGATAAGCACGAAGAACCACCAGAATCCTGAAGCCGTTCGCGTTGATATGCTTCTACATTGGGAGAAAACTGTTCACAACCCCGGAAACTTACGCCTTTTTAGGCCCAAACTTCACAAGTTGAAGCAGGTTTAAGCGAAAACTTACTCACATTGGAGCCAGCTCTGAGCCTTGCTGCAGCAGCCCCCCAATAGTGTACCAGAGGGAGTTTCTGATGCTGAACTGATTGACCAGATACTCAGGCTCGTCAATGCAGGGAAACGGGTTGTTCCATTCGCTCGGCGACAATCTGCCCATGATGAAGATGAAGATGGACACCAAAATGTAGGCCACTCCCAGCATTAGCCAGACTCCGGTGGAAAAGGGCGAGGTGAACATGAATAGACTGGGGGGAACTGGTTCGGGTTTTCTGTATAGGATTCTGATGCCTGAATTGGGATGGTGTTAACATTGCATTTTTCCAGTAGCAGGAGGCAACCAACCTAAGTTCATGAAGGGCATTGTGAAGTCGACTGCGTTTTCGCGCTCGGACGTTATTGTTAGATCCGTGATGGCCAAATCAGCCTTCTGAGGAAAAATTGTGAAAAACCCGTGAAAACCCCTCAAAGAGCGGTTTTCGCTGTGCTGACCTTATCAATGATGGCCCGAATGACGCCGTCCCATTGGTTGGTCGACCGATTGAAGTTCCCATTCTTCCCATCGTGTTGCACAACGAACGTGTAATTGAACTTCAATATCGCGCTCAGTTCTTCAATCACGTCGATGCAAAATCCTTCAAATCTGTCGTTTCCTGTTAGCTGATCGGTTGTTTCCTTTAACATCGCATATGGGGCTGTCTGCAGTAAACTCAAAATGAACGAGGCACTGAAATAATGACGTCACTGCCAAGCAACTTGGTCAGACCAGACTCACCAATACTATGGCTATAGAGAAGGTTCTATTGAAAATGTTGAATTCTGTCTCAGTCGCATCCAGGGATGGAACGTGCTGTCTTTCTACCGTGAGTTGTTTCGTTGTGGTGTCCCATTGGCCCACTTTGATCAAACCTTCGTTAGTTAGGGAAATCACTTCCAGTTTGAAATCCCTTCTGAACCCCTCAAAGTCGAAGAGGATTCGCTTGGTGATGCCCATGAATTCCTTCTGAAAGAAACCCATTTTCTGAACCTGTTCTCATAAAGAACGCCAATTGTTACCCCTTTAATCTGATTCGCTATGGTGTAGCCAAACTTCCAAGCCTGAGTGTCCTGGCAGTCCAGACTTTGAGCTTCCACAGCGCTTGGAAACGAGTCCAGCTCCTTGATCACTTGGTGAAACATGTTGACTCCGTCTATCACAAGAGCGGTGGACAGTCGCATTTTTGGCTCACCGGCGTTTTCATCGGTTTGAAGAGTCTTCTGAATTTGCCTTTGGAAGGCGACGACTGTTTCATCCAAGGGATCAAACATGCGGATCTAAATGAGTTGTTCTAGTGATGACACACTTTAGTAAGCTTCACTGGAAGAAGCATGAACGAACCCCTGTGATGTTGGTCCCTCCATACTGGAAAGGCTCCAGGTCCAGAATGCCAAAATCCAGGTTGGTGATGATAAATTTATAATTGTCGCTCAATAAAGCAACTTGCTGGGCTTGTTTCAACACGTCCCCCAAAATATCGATCGAGCACTCCAGCAGAATGTGAGCGTCGGGCATTTTCTTAATGCTGGTTAAAACCTGCAGAGCCCCTTTAAAACTGTGGGGGAGTGCATTCATGGGAACTGACCTCTCGATAGCTGCCAGATGAATCCAGTTCCAATTGTCTGAATACCAGATTAATTCCGTAGTCAATATTCAGCCTCAATAAGGGGGCGATTCGTCGAAGACTCTCGTCGTCCTCAAACAGGATTATCACGCTCTCCCAATTGTAGGAGCGTATCTGCAAAGTTTCCAAATTGAATATTTTTCCAGACCCATACAGCCAGGAACAGGCGACTTGCCAAATGAACGAAGAACTGGGCAATTTCCTCTGTGTATGGATGCAGATTGACCGAGCAGCGGTTTCTATAGATTTTCGTCGCATAGTGAGTCTCAATCTGCGGAATCTCTTTGCTGTCGCACATGGACTGGATGTAGTTGGAAGTGAAGTGGGAGCTCGGACCGAAAATCCCCACAACTCCCCGTTTTATTAAAGCGCAAACAGCTGAAAGCCATCAGTGTATTAAAATAGTAGTTTTCGATACAAGGGCGAAAAATGTCGTTTTTTCGACGACGACGGCGTTTCACGGCAATCCGTCTGGAGTTCGAAAAACAAATTTTCGCCCTCGTATCGAACACTATTTTATTCGAATGAAAGATTACACGAATAATAAAATGCATCGATTTCATATTTAAAATTTTGTGGCAATGTCATTTTTTGAAATGTCATGTTTTGAAGGTTGTAATTAAGTTTTAGTACTTTTTCAACTTGAAACACCTGTGGTCTTGGGATGGTGTATGCATGTTGCATACTCTGCATGACATTTGCGCTCCTTAAAAAGATCGTGTTTTACGTGTGACAACATCGCAAAAGTAGATAAGTAGGCCATTAAAACGATTATGAGACTGAACTTGTAACAAAGGTATAATTTACAAATTGTACGTAAACTTGAAAATAGGATCAATAGTTGTTGATAAACCTACGTAATTCCTTAAAAAAGCATTTCGGTTATTTTTAAATAAAAATACTAAAAAATATATAATGACAGTGGCAAGTTCAAAGTGTCACATTTACTTTATCGCACACTGTGCGGCAAAGTCCGTGCGTAAAACTAAAACAAATGAACGCTAAAGAAAAGTGCTTCTTGATCATCGCTTCTGTTCGCAAAATGGCACTTTTTGATTCATTCGAATAAAAAAATAATTTCCTTGCCCACTCGCACCTCGACGAGACTCCAAGCTGCTGTAAAGTGAGACGTTAAAGCTATCGGCCATGAGTTGGAAAGGTTGCTCCCAATCCTCCTTCTCCATTAGAGCCAGCTCGAAAGCCGCTTGATGGACTGGATCGTTGAATAAACCGCCTATAAAAATCCTCTATTAACCTACCGAAACAAAAAAACACGACTGACCAATTCGGTATTCGCGTCTCTGGTAAACACTGGCAAGACACACACTAATCTGGCACCATCCGACTATCCACACCTTAATGATTGAGGGCAGCATAGTTTTACCAAGCGCTGATCAGTGAAATTCTGGATACATCTGATCAGATGTTTGATAAAGCGCAAAACTGGTCCAAAAACTCATCATAAAAGCGGTGCGAGATTCGAATAATAAACTCCAGCTATTTTTAGCTGGAAAACCTTTTAGATGGCATTCAGGAAAGTTTACGCTCAAATCGAAGATTTCACTGTTTTTGTGTGAGTGAAAATGGATTATGTGCGGGGCTTGATATATTTTTTCCGTTATGTTGTTTTCCCTTAGTTTTTATTGCTTATTACTTGGCTCTTATATGATATTTTGAGTTGCTGGCAAATTAAGCGCAAGTTCATTAAGAAATTGATATATTCATTAGGAGTATTTGCGGAATATTCACAGTCCCAAATTGATTTGTTCAACTCAGAGCTATGGCACATTATTAGCACATTTTTACGTAATTCTACCTTAAATCTAGAATCTTACTCTATAGTGGTTCGTATCAAATAACATAAAGGAAACATTTTTTTTCAATTTAAGACAGGTTTGTCTTCCCAGAGAGCCTCAACATATTTATTAAATATCTACTACCATAGTTTTTCTAACACAATAAAACTATCAAACGTAACTTAAAACGGCGTTTGCAATCATTGTGGAAAACTTGAGGTTTTCCGGCTTTCAGCTAGTAGTGGAACATAGGTTTCCAGACGTTTCCCTAGCACGCATGGCTATCATCTTCAGATGTTTACTCACGTTGGGTGCACGCTGATGGCAATCAGTCAAATGAATCGAAAGTTTGCATTCGGGAACGTAGCTTGCATCGGTTCTCTCACTCGCACATATAGAGTTCTGAGAGAGATGCAAGATGAATTGCGAGTTGGTAAGTTCCAATTTGCTGCCTTTGTGGCTTAAAATATTTCGCTTTGAGCTGCGTAAAAAATTTATAGTGAATTTGGAATCATGTTAAGACCAATCGAGAGAAACATTACCAACACAATACCGATAAATACACCAGATAATTACCAATCTTGGTTTTCCATAAGCCATCACTGATTTTACACTGAACTGGTGAGAATTTCGTACTCTTACGTGGAAAACTCACAAGTTTCCAACCTGCTTGTTCCAGTCCTGAGTCAGTTTCCACCTTTTAGTGCTTGAGAATGCAAGCAACTACTGCTAGCGAAACGTCTGGAATAATTTTTACCGACAACGGCCTAAAAGCCCCAAAAACTGACAAGTTTACAATCAAATTTGTTCTTCAATCTACCATCTTATAACTTGCTTTCTTCGAGAAAAATTATTACTATTGATATTTTCTTGTAGCTAAATTATCACTTTACCACACGCTGTTTAGGTTTAGTTTAGCAGCAGTTTAGATTCGAGATGTTGCATGCGAAAAAATCCTTTTAAGTTCTGGAATCTTTCGTAATCGCTACGAAACCATAACTTGTGTAAGAGCCCTGAGGATGAAACGAATCCTTATGGGCAGACTTTCCATTTTTGATCGATTTTTTGGGGTCCTGGCAGCAAAAGGCTTGGCGCAATTCCAAAAACATTTCAGAGCACAACGACTCCTAAAAATGTTCAAATAAATAATCATTTCCTCCCCAAAACACATGTTGGAAAAACGAGTTTTTGCTCGGACTTATTTATTTCATTACTCACCTTCTAATAATCCGAATATACAGGGAGCACAAACAAAATTTAATGAATAGCTATCTAAAATTTCTGAAGTGTTATCTAGAAGGGAATTTGGAGGCTTTAGGAAAATAAAGGGTTTATAATTGGCGGAATGTTTGAAAAATGAAAATCTCCATCTCTTTGATTGTCGGTAGAACTAAAAAATGCTGTTGATCAATTTGTTAAGTAAAACGCAGAAAAATCTATATCTTAGGTCTAGGACACGTATCGTTGATATAATGGAATTACAGTTGCTTAAAACTAGGCCTTGGTAACAACATTTTTGCTCAAAAGTCCACCGTTTTTTGAACGTTCAGTATATTAGTGTGAACCATTTTGATCATTCATGCTGATGTTTTGTACAGATAATTATCGATAACTTGACCAAAAGAACGCAAATTGCACTTGAGATCTTAAAAAAAAATAGCTTTGGCCTTATTTACACTTAGAGTTTGACTGTTGGTCGGATTTCGCTTCTTCAATCAAATCAGCACAAAAAGCGGCGAGTTTCGTACAATAATTGAGCCAATCAAAAAATCTTGATATTGAGCAGTTTAATTGGGAGAGAATCAGGCAACGTTTTTGTATGTTTACTACATATCTTAATGGTTTCGGAGTTTGATTTAGGAAGTGTCTGCTGATGAAACTCTGTAAAAACGGCTTTAATCGCCCATGATCATAATATGAATTTGGCTGCTTTAAAGAATGCGGTCCTGGTCATATGTGGAAACTATGCACTTTCCAATCGCCCTAGTTTTTGAAAAGTTTCACCATTAGACCTTTGAGGAAAGTTCAACTTCTCAAGGTGCCCGATTCCCTTAGTACTTGTACTCTTATAGCTACGTGTCGTGCAGAATACTGCTCACCCTTTCCTCTACCGCCACTTTCCTGGACTTCCACACAAACTCGCAAACCGCTATAACGCAGGCCACGCCCATTCCCCCCATTAGAACCACGAAAACTCCCCCGACGTTGGCCAGGCCCAGTTCGTTCGCTGTGCTGCTCGTTTTCGTTGTTTCGTCCTGAAATTTGGCCTCATCTTCAATCTTCTCCGCTCTACTCTGGGGGGTAACTTACCCTACAAGCTCCACCTCCCCGCTTTTCCTTCCACCACCTCGTTTTGAGAATGTGCAGTTTTCCTTCTTCTTGCAGCTTCAATATGGCGCCACTTATGGCGGTTCTAAATGGGGAATCTGGGAGGGAAAGACATTTTGAAGTTATTGAGGTCCTTTGATATTTTTTTTGTTGAAATTTATTCAACGAAATACTAGAAGGAAGATTATTCATTGGTTCGTCCACTTCGTTTCACCTGCTTTTCCAGCACTTGTTCTTCAGAGCTTCCTTTTCTTCTCCTGCTTAAAACAGTGCAGCTGACGAAATAGCTAGAGGAAAACCATGCCAACAATGACACGCATTTCACTGTGACTTTTGACTTTGAAATCGGCTTAAAACGATGTTTTTCCGAAACTTTTGCCCCTTGAAAAGCGTGTGCGGTCGGGTAATGCGTGGCTCTCACACGGACATTAAAGTTCCAGATTTCTCGAAACATATGAGAAATAGTGTGGCCGACCCAAATTGCCCCTCGCGTCAATCGGAGGCTTCGAGGAAACTGCTAAGTTATACGCTGTCCGGAATTCTGCTTACAAGTGGAATCTATAGCGTTAAGGGCGAAGTTCATCGGTAAGATTTCACAGAATTCACGTTTGAGAAACTCAAAAATTGCTTTTTTTGGAGGAAAGATGAAGGTTTCTGTGGGAGACTTTGCCCCATTTTATCGATCTTTTGACAAATACAGTGAAGGACTATTTTCTTGTACTTTTATGTGTCTGTTATTGGACAGGGAAGCATGAGTTTTCCAGTGCGTTTCTCCAGCCAGTGAAAACTTTGATGTTTTGCGACATTTTCGTGTCATTTTCTCATTTTCACCTCGAAGAAATCCATATTAAGTGAGCGCAGTCCA